AGCGATGCTCCAATATCTATAGATTCTAAATATGAGATGACTGGCACTATACGACTTGGAGTTATTCTTCTCAGGAGTTGCACTCTGATACATTTTCTGAAAACAAAATATTTTGATAAATTATACTTGTAGGTATGGAAACGCTGGTACAGTGGTGCCTACCTAAACTTAATATTTTATTGACTGATGTACTACTAATCATCTTAAATAATGTGCCGGTTACATACACCGAATGGAGGAGATCTGAGGGGCTAAAGCTCATCACCTCAAAATTTCAGAAAAACTTAAAAATGTTTCCAGTGCTCTGGAAACGCACTAGTTTTGAGTTATGACTACGCAACCATATGTGCACGTATTATAATTTTTATTACATTTAGTTGTATGAAGGTTACTGCAAAGGTCTAAAATACGGCTAATCATTAATTAAGTTAGGTTATTTAACCTAACCTAACCTAACCAAGTCCTACAAATCAGCGAACCAAACTTAGAAAGCATCCTTGTTTAGCCTTTCTTGCATGGTACAAACTATCAACCTATCTCCCAAAGTAAAATCATGGCTACGCCCCCGACGTAAGGTAAGTACGCACCCATTACAACCCATATAATAATGACTGTAAGTATTCGATATATGTATAACCAATTTTAATTACACATCGTACAATCATATCTATTTCAAAAGCAGCTATCAATACTTTTAAATTTTTAATGAAGGACATAGCTACAAGAATAAAACTTATTCTATTTTACAGACATCACTGAACAACAGTTTTCGTATCTTCAAACATCTAATCTTTAATAAACACATCTCCCCTAATTTCAAACTCCTCATCTACAAAACATTGCTGAAACTAATCTGAGAACACGGAATCCGTAGAGAAGCGCAAAGAAGACAAACTTAAATAAAATTCAATCCATCCAAACACCGACCAAAAAAATTAATAAATGCTCCTCCATATATATCAAACCATACTCTACAAACAGACCAGGTAAATTAAAAAAAAATCCACGAAGATGGCAAACGGTTTTATAAAAGATTCCACATCATAACCGTCTTTCCTCTTACTCAAACCTTTTTATTAAAAACCGTTCCTYCCTTATAATTCCAGGCAGGCGGCACCCCTCCTAGACACTTAAAACGCAAATTTCCTATTAGAGACCTAGCAGAGACCTTTTACAATTTTAACTTAAAATAACAAAAAACAGCTCAAAATAAATTTTAGAACTTTAAAAATCAACGAAAAGTGTCATCATTGGATGCCATTTTTACTAATTTTTTTGTGTATTCATTATTTTATCTGTCTTATATCGTATATATACTTTTAATGTTTATT